CATCCCTCCATCTGCTTACCTCTGAACCCCCGTCTCCCTCTCCATCTGATCAAAAGTCACCTTCCAGCTTCCCTCTTGGGTTCACTTTCCTCCCCCCCCGTACTTTATAATCCGCTAGCACCTGTGGCAAAGTCAGCCTGCCCTTTTCACTCATCCCTCCCCGTTCCCCCGCGCACAGGCTTCCAGGGATCTGACAAAAAAAAACACGTCTTTGGATTATGGATCGTAAAACAAATGAAGACGCACGCCGGCAAATGCTTTCTGGAAACTTCCTTAACACTCACGGTGGCACAAAGTCAGACGCACGAGTCGTAGTTGAGACATACGGCCAATGGGAGCGCAGCAGACATCTACCTGGCTTGTATAATGATGGACACATCTTGATTTACTTTGTGCGTGACGTCAACAACCCCAAAAGAGCTAGTGCTTTCAGGGCTTTTTCATTTCAAAACGTGTTCCTGGAAACATCTTTTTTTTGGCGTTTCCATTCGAGAAACTGTCAAAGCGCAGGCCAAGCTTTCGGGGGGGGGGGCGGGGGGTCTGATCTGGATCACGACAAGCATCCGCGCGCACAACCCCGTAACCATGACGATGCACATGCGGGCATCAAACTAACTCCTGCGCGGCGCTTTATGGAGGCAGATGCACGAGGAGGATAATAAACACACAAAAACCCACACGCAGAAACACACGTTCCAGGGGAGGAGGCACACTTCCAGAGTTCAGCCGCCCGCCCACTAACGCTCCCACACAGGTGCAAAACAGAAGAGTCAGATCAGAAACAAGACACGACGTCCTATTTTCTGTCATTTATCTAATTCAGATAATAAAGCTGAAATGACCAACCAATTACTTCAAAAATATATATATATTTTAGCTGTCCTTCGGGGACATCTGTGAACACTTTTTCTCATCATATGACAGAATTCAGAGTTTCAGGCCACTTCACTGGCAAAATGGGATTTATTAGTTAGTCTTTAAGTAAATAGAAGTGGCAGAGGGGGGCTTATCTTTAAGTTGTTTATTCAATGATGACCAACTTTTTTCATTTTAGAGGAAAAGATCTCTTTGGGGACTTTTTCGAAGGGCTTTTTTAAAAGACATAATTG